TCTGAGGACCTAATTAATTAGCACATTGAAAGGGGTTAGGGTAGTACCTGCCACACACGAAGTGCTCACTTAGCAATTATTATTAACATTGTTATTACAAAGCCCCTTTCATGTCCACTTTCTTAGCAGTGCCTCTCAATAACCCTGTGAAGTAGGTTCTGTTATTCCCCTTTTACAGATGAAGAAACTGAGATGCTGAAAGTTGAAGTGACCTGGCCAAGGCTAGTTCTGTGGAGAGCCAGTAAACAAACCCAGCACTGTGTCGGTCTTTGCACTGCCTGTCAGGGAGCACCTGCCCACTGTTCTAATGGACATCTAACTATATCTCACTCACTGGCAAGAAGTCCTTATCTTCTAGAGAGAGTTTAGATCCCTGCCCTTGAAAAGGGTAGTAGACATGTCTCGCCCAGAGGGAGAGGAATGGCCAGCATAGGCTCCTAGGATTGCTGCTGGCCAGAGGGATGGGAGAGTCTTTCCTGTTCTGGGATAGTCTTCCTCAGGCTCTGCCAATCTCTCCTCTCTGCCCCCAAATTCTGGAGATACTTTACTCCTTCCCTATTCCCTATCTTGGGCTTTCCTTTCCACTCTACTTCCCCCAGGGCTGCCTGCCAACCCCTTTTGTGCCAGACTCTGTTCTGGCCCAACCAATGTCCTTCTCCCAGGCACCAGTGACTTTCTTCAATGCCACGCCCATGGGCCGGATCCTAAACCGCTTCTCCTCCGACGTGGCCTGTGCGGATGACAGCCTGCCCTTCATCCTCAACATCTTCCTGGCCAATGCGGCAGGCCTGCTGGGGCTTCTGGCTGTGCTGGGTTCTGGCCTGCCCTGGCTGCTGCTGCTGCTGCCACCTTTGAGCATCATCTACTATCAGGTGCAGCGCCACTACAGGGCCTCCTCACGGGAGCTGCGGCGCCTGGGCAGCCTCACCCTGTCTCCACTCTATACCCACCTGGCGGATACCTTGGCTGGCCTCCCTGTGCTCCGAGCTGCAGGGGCCACCTACAGGTGTGTGAACCAGAGCCCAGGGGGATGAGGTGTCAGAAGGAGGGGAAGAGAGACCCCCAAGGAGGAATATGCAGCGTAGGGTTGGTTCAGGCCACCTGGGGACAAGGGACGGGGAAGGAGGAAAACAACAGAAGAGGGAGATAAGGAGACAGAGCAGACCCCTACTTTGAAAGAGCATGCTGGCATCTGCAGCCTTGAGGGAGGCCTGTGAATGTATAGATCAGCTCCTGAGAAGAAGCTGCTGGATAGGGAAGGAGCCTGGGTGGCTAAGGGCAACAGTGGAGTAGCCTCGCATCCCTCTGACCTTCCCAGCTTTGAGGAGGAGAACCAGCGACTCCTTGAACTAAACCAGAGGTGCCAGTTCGCCACCAGCGCCACAATGCAGTGGCTGGACATTCGGCTACAGCTCATGGGGGCGGCAGTGGTCAGCACCATCGCAGGCATTGCCCTGGTGCAACACCAGCAGGGCCTCGCCAACCCAGGTGCCACCCAGGACCCTTCAACCCTACCTCAGCTGCAACTTAGTCCACCCCCTCCCAGATCTCTCCCTGCACTGTCCTCCAACATTCTCACCTCCCACCCTGGGTTCCCTGTGAGGGTGTATCATGCTTATCATCATCACCCTCAGTTTGGAGTTGAGGAGACAGTCCTGAGGAGTGACGCCCCAGTGGTGGTGGCTCAGGGACTGGAATGAGTCTTCCAACCTGCTGGTCTTAGTCCCTTTCCTGCCCCACCCTGTCCCTACGACATTGCCCCAGCCCATCTCAGACTCCCACCTGCCATCCCTCCCAGCTTCTCCAGCCCCACCCCCTGCCCTGCATCGAGCCTCCTGTGCACCTGGCTAGGTCCTGTCACCCTCCTGCTTTTCTGTGCTTCCTTTAAATGCCTGCAGTCCACAGCTTGGGGAGTCTCCCACACACGTCCCAGTGTCCAAGCTCTCCCAGCAGCTGATACTCCTCTCCTGCAGGGCTGGTGGGCCTGTCGCTGTCTTATGCCCTGTCCCTGACGGGCCTGCTCTCGGGCCTGGTGAGCAGCTTCACACAGACAGAGGCCATGCTGGTGAGCGTCGAGCGGCTAGAAGAGTACTCCTGTGACCTGCCCCAGGAACCCCAGGGCCAGACGCTGCAGGTGGGCCTGTACCCCCACCCCAGGCCAAAGCTCTGGAACTCTGCAGACCCCAGTTACCCCCCAAGTCATTTCTTTTTGCTCACCCATCTTTCTCAGCTCCCATAACCTCTCTGCATGATGACAATTCTTCACCATGTCCCTTCTTCCCCATCTCTCCTCATTCTCCCCCCTTTCCTCTCACACTGTCTGTTTCTCATTATTCACGCCTCCTCACCATCACTCCTCATCTTACCCATCTCCCTCTCTCCCTCTATCTCCCACCTATGGACCCCACCAGTTGGGCACTGGCTGGCTGACCCAGGGGAGCGTGGAGTTCCAGGACGTGGTGTTGGTGTACCGGCCAGGGCTGCCAAATGCCCTGGATGGAGTGACCTTCCGCGTGGAGCCTGGAGAGAAGTTGGGCATCGTGGGCCGCACGGGCTCCGGCAAGTCTTCCCTGTTGTTGGTGCTCTTCCGGCTGCTAGAGCCCAGTTCAGGGCGAGTGCTGCTGGATGGCGTGGACACCAGCCAGCTGGAGCTGGCCCAGCTCAGGTCTGGGAGAGGTGGACTTGGGAGGGGGACAGGGGAACCAGAACTACTGGCACTTAGAGGAGGGCACAGCTAGGAAGGCTTTATGTAAACTCAGGGCAGCCAGGGCTGATCAGGGGGCTGAAATGGAGGACAGGATGAGCAGGCACCAATAGCGAACTCCCAGTGCCCAGGTCCAGATTCATGGCTGGTGATCTCAATGTCTTCCTTGCCCTGACCCAGGCCACCTTTCCAGCTTCATCTTTCTTATACTTCCCAGCATATACCCTCTACTCTTGTGTCCCAAGATACTGATCCCCTGAGCCTTCAGGCTCAGCAGGCTGTGCTTCAGACAGCTTGAGACCTCAGCCAGTTGCCCTTGGCTTCAGGTGGCCTCACTGGAGGGTGTACGCTCCTTCCCTACCCCCAGGTCAACCTAGTATCATTTTCTCTGAGTTCCCTGCCATGGAAAAGGTAGGGAAGCTGTATCCTAAAGCTGTAGGCCTGCCTCTTCTGCCTTCTCTTCTAAGCTGTGGTGGCCCTACCTTATACCTCCACCATGTCTTCAGGACCCAATTCTAGGCCCACTCCAACACTGAAGTGTCACCTGCCCTTTCAGTCACTCTGGTCGTGCCTGTGTAGCCACTGCTGCCCTTGGAGTCAGTGCCGCAGTTTAGCCCATTTGTTTTCTCTGGTTTGTGTGTGTGCACCTCCATGAAATGTAGGCTCCTTCAGGACAGAGTCCAGCCTTTGGTTTCTTTGGTATTGCTCATAGCACTGGCAGTTCTGGGTACCCAGCTGATTAACAGATCATTTGGTGGGGATGGGGTGGGGAGCAGAGTTGGGGTTATGTTCAGGTCTCATCTCCAGGCTTTTGTGGAGGTACTAGCCCTGTAGTCAAAAACTGAGCTGGGAGCAGAAGTGGCTATATCTCTAACCGCTAGACTCCATGTCATTGACCCCCAGATCCCAGCTGGCTATCATCCCCCAGGAGCCCTTTTTGTTCAGTGGGACTGTTCGGGAAAACCTGGACCCCCAAGGCCTACATAAGGACAGGGCCTTGTGGCAGGCCCTGGAGCAGTGCCACCTGAATGAGGTGATTACATCCATGGGTGAGTGCTGGACCCCGACCCTAGAGCAAGAAGGGAGCAGGGAGGGCCTGGACCCTGCAGTGAAGATGCTCTCCTTGCAGGTGGTCTGGATGGTGAGCTGGGCGAGGGGGGCCGAAGCTTATCCCTTGGGCAGAGGCAGCTGTTGTGTCTGGCCAGGGCTCTCCTCACAGATGCCAAGGTAAGGTGAGAGGAGGAGACATTAGAGAGGGCTAGGAAGGAGGTGGCAGGGGGAGTGTCAGGATGAGGAGGTACAGTGGGAAGATGTTTTAGGTGACCAAGTTCATTTTCCTTTTAGAGCTAGAAGTGGGGCGCTGTTGCTTGGACCAGGCCCAGCTCACCCTACAGCCTCTCCTTCCTTTTCATCCCCTACCCCATTCCCATATTCCAGATCCTGTGTATTGATGAGGCCACAGCAAGCGTGGACCAGAAGACAGACCAGCTGCTCCAACAGACCATCTGCAAACGCTTTGCCAACAAGACAGTGCTGACCATTGCCCACAGGTGTGCAAACGCCCAGAGTGACAGTCTAATCAGGGACTGTGGTAGCATGCACCCAGAGCCTCCATTACTTTCAGGGACCCCAGGGGTCAGGGCCCTAGAGATCCTGTCCCCAGATAACAGCTTCTCCTTCTCCAGGTACTGCTCAGGGCCCTTTATAGCACATTATCTGAGGGACTCTGTAGTCTCTTCTCCAGCACCAATCCAGGGGATAAAGCCTGTGGGGACAGACCTGTGGTGTCCCGAGGGGAGAGGAGGGAAAGCACATCAGCTTTCTCACTTAGGGCACTGTCCCTCATCCCCCACACTGCCCATCTTCCTCCCACAGGCTCAACACGATCCTGAACTCAGACCGAGTGCTGGTGCTGCAAGCAGGGAGGGTAGTGGAGCTGGACTCCCCGGCTGCCCTGCACAACCAGCCCCACTCATTGTTCCAGCAGCTGCTGCAGAGCAGCCAGCAGGGAGTCCCCTCCTCGCTCGGAGGGCCCTGAGCCCCATTCCACACCCTGCAGGGTTCTTCCCTCTCTCTGATCCAGGCCAGGCCTGTACAGAGGTGCTGGCTGCTTGTTTACATTCTCCTCTGGGGCTGTACCTCTCCACACTTCCCCAGAGGGGAAAAGGGCACCCTGGGTTACTCTTTGGAAACCACTCCTTGGTGGGCAGCATCCCGAGCTTCCTCAGAACCAGGCCTCTGCTCCGGCCCTCTTGCATCTGGGACACCAGGTGGGTTTTTCTGGCATAGGAACCCATTTGCATTTTCATAGTTTTATTTGATAAAATTCCATCTTACATTCTGTGTATTAAAAAAATAGTATTTCTGGTGTGAGGCTGAGGTCTCCTCAGTGTGTGTACCCAAGCTGAAGCGTGGTGAGAAAAGACCACTCCAGTCTGAGGGGTGGAAGAGGAAGGGGGCTGGAAAGCCGCCACCTCCATCACAGTGCTGTGGTCTTTCCAGGCTCAGGGGGCAAGTCAGGTGGCAGGGGGAGCCCTGCCGGCAGCATGCTAACCTGACACTCCTGGTCCTGGCACGCTGGAGCATAGTGTGGGGCAGGGTAGCAACAGGGTCCAGGGGGGCAGACACCCCGGCGCCAGGCCCTCAGGGTCAACGACACAGTAGCCAGAACCAGGGCAGCAGTGAGGGCCCCAAACACCACCAGGGCCACCAGGCCAGGCTCACCTAGCCCAGCCTCTTGCCTCCGCACCACCTCTTTCACTGAAATCCGCAGCAGACCAGCCCCTGCACTGTGGGGGGCTGGCCCCGTGGCAGGTACCACCACAGCTGAGGTGGGCCCTAGAGGGGTGTCCATTGTGGTGGGGGGATCTGGGACGGGTAGGACAAGCTCACAAGTCTTGCCACCATAGCCACTAGGGCAGAGACAGTAGAAGTCATTGACACGGTCCCGACACCGGGCCCCTCTCTGGCATGGGCGGCTGGCACAGTCATCCAGGTTGATGGTGCAGAAGCGTCCAGCAAAGCCCTCAGGACAGAGGCAGGAGAAGCGGTTTATGCCGTCAAGGCACGTGGCACCGTTAGCACAAGGCCGCATCAGGCAGTCATCCACGTTCACCTCACAGCGGGCACCCACAAAGCCCACCAAGCAGCGGCACGTGAAGTTGAGGGCAAAGCCCTGGTCGTCCTGGCACTGCCCGCCATTGCGGCATGGGGAGCTGGGGTGAGGGTGGGAGAGGACATTATACCAACTTACCGACACTTGCAGGGTAGCCCAGGTCAGTATCCTGACCACTGCCTGCCATGTCACCTTGGGCTACCCTCTCCAAGCCTCAAATACCTCATTTTAAAAGTGAGAATAAAAATAGTGCCCAGCTTCCCTAACTGTGAGGGTTAAGTGAAATAATCAATGTTAAGCAGTTAGTACAGGGCCCAGCCGGAAGGCAAGGCTCAGGATAAGTGTGCTATTATTATCCTCATGGGCTCCTGGGCCTGATGCAGAAATGAGGACAAGTCCAGCCCTGCAGCCTGTTTCCTCATCCCTATGGTGACACAGAAGGGTGCAAGCCAGCATTCAGGAGAGGATAAGGGGAGACCCAGGCCCCTCCACCCCCCCACACCCACCCTTCTCAATCAGAGCAGTCACACATTTGCTACTGCTCTAGCTCCTATAGGTTGTTGAAGAAATGGCTCAGAAGGTACAAAAAAAGTTGAGAAACCCTGAACTAGGAGCACTGGCATGAGGGGTTTTGTCTGAGTGCTCCTGTGTGGGTCTGACCCTCAGTCTCCCATTCTCCTAACAGTCCTGCCTCTTTCCTCATCTCATCACCAGGTTCTGGTCTAACTTTCCATTCACCCCGAGGGCCCAGCACTCACCCTGCCTGTTCACAGGGTCCAGTCTTGCGCTCGCAGTCATGCCCATGGAAGCCTGGTAGGCACACACAATGGTACTCACCGCCCCCATCATACATGCACTGGCCTCCATTCTGGCAGGGGGACTGCGTGGTACAGATATGTTCATCTGGAGAAGGGACAGGAAAGGCTCTAGGATAGTGCCTCACATCTGGTCCCCAGACCAGACTTGTCCATGCCTTCCAGGCCCCAGGCTCTATGGGCATGGCTATACTACAAACCCAGCCAGGCTGGTGTGTACTAGGGAGAGACAACACTGAATTTGGAGTTAGGAGGCTCCTGGCCCTCGCTCTCAGTCTGTCTGAAACTGACTTTGGGCTGGGTATGGTGCCTCACGCCTGTAATCCCAGCACTTTGAGAGGCCGAGGTGGGGGAATGACTTGAGGTCAGGAGTTCGAGACCAGCCTGGCCAACATGGCAAAAACCCATCTCTACTAAAAATAGAAAAATTAGACCAGTGAAGTGGCTCACACCTGTAATTGCAGCACTTTGGGAGGCTAAGGCAGGTGGATCACTTGAAGTCAGGATATGGAGAATAGCCTTGCTAACATGGTGAAATCCCATCTCTACTAAAAATACAAAAATTAGCCAGGCATGGTGGCAGGCGCCTGTAATCCCAGCTACTTGGGAGGCTGAGGCAGGAGAATTGCTTACACCGAGGAGGCAGAGGTTGCAGTGAGCCCAGATCACACTACTGCACTCCAGTCTGCGCAGTAGAGTGAGACTCAGTCTCAAAAAAAAAAAATTAGCTGGGTGTGGTGGCGGGCACCTGTAATCCCAGCTACTCGGGAGGCTGAGGCAGGAGAATCACTTGAACCCAGAAGGTAGAGGTTGCAGTGAGCTGAGATCATACCACTGCACTCCAGCCTGGGTGACAGATTAAGAGTTCATCTCAAAAACAAAAAACTGACTTTGAGCAGGCTATAGCTCTTCTGTGGGCCTTAGTTCCAAAAATGAGTACAATTTTTAGCAGCTGTGTTTCCTATCCTGTGGGATTATGTTGAGGATCAATTCAGACAACATATAAAAAGTATAAGATAAAAAATTATAAAATACCATGTATTTGAGGGTTTGACAAGGACACAACAGGCACTCAATAAACACTGATGGATGTTCCCTAAGAGCTTAGGGTTCCCAACCAACAGCTACCCTTCCTTCCCCTACCTTTGTCACAGAACTTGCCCGCCCAGCCACTGAGGCAGATGCACTGCCATGGCTGGTGGCAGGTACCATGCTGGCAGCCAGGCATCCTCACACAGCGCTCACAGTGCAGCCCCTCCCAGCCCGGGTCGCACCTGACAGGGAGAAGCACAGGGTCAGGGCTCTGGGTCATGGAAGTTAAGAATTGGAGGAGACAGAACCAGAGCTTCTAGAAACCAAGAGGACATATGACAGCCCCTAAGGGAAAGCAGACCTGTCCCAGGTAGGTGTAGCGATGTGCAGGGTCATAGGACACATATATGGAATCAGACCATCAGAAATCAACACTCAAACCCTGGTTTAGTACTTTGTCTAATCTTAGCATCAGTTTTCTCGTCTGTAAATTGGGGATACACCTTGCAGGGTTGAGTAGGGAAGAAATAAAATGTCTGTAGATGCCTCCAGTACCCCTCCTGGCATGTCTGAGGTGCTCACAAACATTTAAAGAAGAATGACCTTGAAAGGTCATCAGCACCAGGTGTGGTGGCTCACACCTCTAATCCCAGCATTTTGGGGGGCTGAAGCTGGTGGATCACTTGAGGTCAGGAGTTCAAGACCAGCTTGGCCAACTGGGTGAAACCTCATCTCCACTAAAAATACAAAACATTACCTGGGCATGGTGGTGCGAATCTGTAATCTGTTGTTGAAGAGGCTGAGACAGGAGGACCACTTGAACCCAAGAGGCAGAGCTGCAGTGAGCTGAGATCACACCACTGCACTCCAGCCTGGGCAACAGAGTGAGACTCTGTCTCAAAAAAAAAAGGGGCCGGGCGCGGTGGCTCAAGCCTGTAATCCCAGCACTGTGGGAGGCCGAGGCGGGTGGATCACGAGGTCAAGAGATCGAGACCATCCTGGTCAACAT